ATAAAGTTATCTTACCGACCTAGCATGCCTGTAATTACCCATAGCAGAAGCGGCATCCTTGAAGAGTCAGTAAGTTCACAAACTGGCAGGCGTCCCCACCAAAAGGCAACGTTGTCCTTGGTGTGAAGTTAGCTGCCTTCCAAGAAAGCACTATCTACTTTTATACCATTAACTGAGTGACCACAACCTCCCAGGTGTGGCCAGCACCGCCCAGCCAGAGGCCCTCAGTCCCACCTCCCGGTTATGTAAGTGCATCTCTTCTGTGCATGCATGAGAACTTCGGAAATTCCCCTAACGCACGCGCAGTATGCCTTGGGGGTCTTTCTTAATTGAGTCTGGGGGTGCTACTTCATCCTCCTCCTCCTCAAATTCTCCTTCAAGCAACCTTGGAGGACAATTAACCAATCACAGAACACCAATTAAAACAGTTTATACGGAAGTTCTCCCTCCGAGGATGAATTCGCTGTTCTATCAGTGAACTTGGCAGGGAGAATATAAACTACTGTAGGTGGCTGGGGCCAAACACAGACCAAAAGTATCAGCATAAATTCACCCTGGTACAGAAGCGGATGGAGTAATTTCTTCTTTCTCAGCTTTTTTGCTAGTGATCAGTCCTCTTGCTCAGGTCTCTGTTCAGGAACAGACTCCTCAGCTTCGTAAAATAAAAGTGAGCTCTGGTCATAGCTGAATGTTTTCACTCTTAATAAAGAGCCTCTTTCTTTCCTACCTAACTGGCTTTGTTGGTATGAAGGGAAAAGCACAAACTAAGAACCTCATTTCCCTGCCCTTTCACTAATAATCTAGCTAGCAATCTCATTCTCACACTCCTTGTAAAATACAAAGAAAAGTGATATGGCATATTTAATATAACTTTTGTTTCTAACTGGAAATGTTACTACTCTTTGTTTAACTTTCTTATTTCTCTTGGCCTCCTTTCAAGAAGGAGAATACTAAAGTTTTCTTTTTCTTTTGGAGTAGCTCAGTGAGCCACACAGCATCTTTGCTCCATGAACGTTCTAGGAAAAAAAAGATCCACTTACTCTAGCTAATTCATCTAAGTAAGCTCATGAAACAGGGAGTGGAAAATATTTCTGGGTTTTGATCAATAATCAATTTATGGTCTGAAATAAACTTATTTTTCATGTTCTTTCTCTAGTAGCACTCACCTAAATCAGTAAAAGTTTTATCCTTTATAATCTGTTCTTCCTAATCATCTTGACCAATGCTTTTAGTATGCACTGTTAAAAAGATCGTCCTTCCTTCTCTTCTGCTTTGTTTTAAGCTTATTTTCTCTATTCCTTGCTTATGCCCACATATTGGGAAAATTAGTATAAGACTATTATAATATGATGCTTCCTCCTGTATTTTTTAAATGACTATGAATAAAGTATCAAGGAAATTATTGTAACTGACATACAGGTCATCTACTAAAATGAACAAGTCATTCGGTACCTCAAAGCTATTTGCAAACTAAAACAGAAGTTAGAGAATTTGCCTTCTCCCCAGAAAATGTGCCTCTTGAGGTTTTATTTTACAACCGTAGTGTCTGGATACTTTTTCAATAAGAGCTGAAACATTGGGTAACAATAGAGAAGTCTGCAAGGTAGAATTTCACAGCTTGATTATTTCTTTAAATTTTCAATAGATAAAATATTACTTCAATTTCATTCTATTTCTGTGTGATGGGTTTTATTTATTAGAGAAGATAAATATGAAGCATGTAATGAGACTCCTCCAAATAATTTACTACGTAGTTTATTCAGATCGTCTCATCCTTTTATTTTCGTCTCAAAATAAATAGGGCTGGTCTTTTAAACCTTCTTATTGTATGGAGAAAACACTCATTTGTCAAAAGTCCTTTCTTTCCTTCTGTGCCACTGGCATTCTATGGCCTTTTCTGCCTCATCTGTGTTGTTTTCAGCCTTGGCTGCAAAAGCTAAGTTTTGCCTGCTAATGAAGAGAACAGTGTCTCTTATTCACCACCTTCCTTCAGAAATTATTATCTGCTTTCACTAATGGCAAGATGATGCTGTGTGGGAAGCCAAGTGGACTGTTCCTTCCTTCAGGCAGTGTTGAGAGAATTTCTTTATCTTTTCCAAGGTGCTGTTGTAAAGAAATGTGAAGGTTACTCAAAATACTTTTTTCTTGAGATGATTGGAGGAAGAGTAAATTCCAGTGCTTTAGTTGCTGTCCTTGTCCCTGTTTTTGCTGCTCTAGATTAACATCATATGCTGGAAAGATGGAAGAGGATGACAGTGGGCAAATTTGCTTTTGATATTTTGCTGCTTTTCATCTTGATTCCACACATCTTTGCTAACCAGCTTCCTACTGGTTTCAGATAGACTGCTTCTTTGAGAAGGATTTGTGTCTGAACAGAGATTTGTAAGGTATATTCCCAAACAAGAGCCTTTTTTTTTTAAAGTCTGCTTTAAAAAACCCTCACAAACCACTGAAGAGAATTTTAAAATAGATACAGTAATACTTGGCTGTAAAAAAACTTCCCTGAAACTGAAAGGGAGTTTTTTCAGACTTCAAGCTTGTTGGTCTGTGGGACACAGCAGAGCTGAGCACTGAGAACAGGGAAAGGTCATCACTGGGGCCCCAGGCACCTGCAGTCAGACTGGGTAGAGGAGGATGGCGTGTTTGCTGGGAACAAAGAACATTGTGAATGTTCACCATCTTTGTTAGTGAAGAAATAACCTTTCCTTAGTGGCCAAATAAACTCCTGTAATGAATAATAATATCTGTTATTAAGATAAAACAATTAGAAAAAATGAGAAGAACTGGAGCTTGTAGAGTAGACCTGATGCAACGTGGAAGTAGGGCTATTAGTTTAGGGGATATTACTTTGCCTTTCCCAGTTGCTCATTTAGTTTTGTTGAACTATACCATATGATAGGCCTGAAGATTAATGTTGTTCATTTATCTGCAGAATACATGTGACATAGCTACAAGCAGAGGCTCGGCAATGTTCTTAGCTCATGTTCCAGAAGAATCGTCTCTGAGTTGGAGGAACTGTGTTTCAGCCTCTGGTCCCTGCATTTGGTCCATTAATAAAGAGCACCAGCAAGCTTTGTTCTGATAGTAGTGCTTACAAACTGGACAGTGTTCACTAGAAACTGATTAAACCTCCCAGCTTATTTTGCATAATTGCCAAACAGCTGTCTAGTCATAATGACTTTAAGTTACTACCAGCATGGGATATATTCGTGCAGTTTTCCTGGAGCTGAAAGATTCCCCATCTAATTGCAATTCACTGAGCCATTCAGTGCCCCTAAAGAGAGAGCGCTTCTTAGGAAGAAGTCATTGAAAACTTTCAGATTTATTTTGGAGGTGGGAGACAGAAGTGGCCTTCAGGTTCTTTTGGGCACATTTATTCACCTCTGACAGGTTTGGGGATTTAAAAATACTTTAGCTGAATTAGTTGGTGAGTCACTTAGAAGGGGGTGCTGAAACAAAGTGAGATATGTGGGAATTGAAAAATTGTAATAGGTGCAGAAGTGATGAGATATGTTTTTTTAAATTAATAGGATGACTCTGAAGTCTTTAGATAGTAGCAGTTACTGCTTGGAGGATAGTTCTATTGACTCAAGAAAAAAATATGACCCATTTATGATTAAGAGGTAATCTCAGCTAAACTAAGAGGGTATTATTAATTTAAAAGGATTTACAGTTAGTGTCAGATCTGAATTACTATATTTTAATTGTACAGATAATCCATTAGAACTATAATGCTTTTGCTCTTAAAAAGTGAGGTAAGAGATGTGCTTCTGTTAATAAGCATGGCATTTGTTTTTGAGGAGGAAAAAAAAGTGAAGGAAGGCAGGGAAACTTCTCTCTGGAGATTTCATTTCGCATCACATCTTTTCAGAACTGGCCTCTGCCTATCTTGACTATTGCTTTACCCTTGGTTCCAATGTTTTCTTAAGTGTCAGCTACAATTTTGAGCAAGGATTTGACATCTGCCTTCAGAATAAGGGTTTTGCCTTAGTTCAATGAAAGATTTTTTCTTTTTGTTTATTTTGCTTTCCTTCCCAAATGATGCAATGTGGAGTAAACCTCAATAGTTTTGAATACGTGAGAGTTGTATGAACTGTGTATGTTGCACCTCAGTCCTTCTGAGGTGGCAATGTACACTGAAACGTAAAGTACAGGAACTTCCTTGATGTATTTTTTTCTCTCCTATCTCCCTCCATGTTTTTAATACCAGTTCTGATTGATCGCTGAGGGGCCTTCAGTTAAAAAGATGAAAAAAAAACAAAAGAGAGGGCAAGTCAGAAACCTGAATCCCAGTCATCTGTGTCTCATGATTGTAAAACAAAGTAGAGTATCAAGCTGGTATAGCCTTATTTATTGCCTGTGCAGAAATAAGGCTGCTTTGCCTTTTTTTCCAGTTAAGATGTGTAACAGGGTATATTTTCTGTAAAAATTGCTGTATGTTGTGTTATGGCACTTCAGTCTCTAAATGTTGGTTTATTTATGCTCCACTCCAAGCGTCACTGTTAATACTAAAATTGTACAGAATTTGTAAAATGGCCTTTCTTCTGTGTGCAGCCCTCAGTACCTAGTAGTGCAGTGTGTCCTCTCTCATACAGGAGCTAATTCTAATACCTTTCCCTATTTTTATAATAGAATGTGTAGCCAAGCCTGGAAATTTTGATTCATCTTGGGTATTTCTGTAAAGACATCACCTTTTATTAAGCTTTTGTAGCTTGCTGCAGGATGTTATGTCGTGTCTGTAAACTAAGAACATTTGAAGCCCCATTTGAGCTGCCTTATACTTTTACATGGACGAATTCTATATCATGGCTGTCTGCCTCAATTTAGGTTTGCACGAGTCAGAAACTCTGCAGTACTTTGAGGAGGAAAGTGAGTGATATTGAGACTCAGCTACCAGCTCTACTTGAAGCCAAAATGCTGGCTGTTTCAGGTAAGTCTTAAGCGATGAGAAGGACTAACACTGATAAGGGTTGTATCAGAGCAGTTACTGACCTCTTCTTTACAGACTTTTCCTAAGAAGTTGTTGATGTGCTTGTGTACATGCCTTCAAATCATGGCAAGTCTAGCAGAATGGGGTTGTGTCATGTCTTGTGTAAGGTATTTCAGGCCCCTCTCTGCGGTTTGGGACTACTGGCAGAGAGGATGCTGTGTGATAGGCAGTAAAAGTGCGATAGACATGGTATTTTTCCATAGGTGAAATTGGTATATAATTATCCATAGCTGTTCCTGGACTCTACAAGTTACATGCTTAGAGGTCTCTGGCTAAGTTATAAATGTATAACTAAGGTATCAAAATTACGAGTGTGGCTTTAAATGACACTTTAAAATGGAATACAATAATTGGCAGCTTCTGCTGTTCAGATCATTAAACAACTATTGCTGGCAGCAAAGGAGCAATTTTGTCCTTGTAGCACTCATGCATGTTATTTACCACCAATAAAACACTGAAATGTGGTTACAGCGTCTGATATATAACAGCTTTACATGCCCCAAACTTGGCATTGCTGCACTATTGTCCAAGGAAAAAAGATGAAGCACAGTTCTTTATCTTGAAAGTTGAAAGAGGTAGGTTTCCTAATTCAGCAAATGGTTTACAAATGTTTAAGTAGGTGTCTCTCTGCTAGATACCTGCCTCAGAGAGGAAGCTGAGTAGAAGGGAATGTGGATTGGAGTACAAGGAGTTTTCTGGTGTTACACCAAGTAAAGAAAGGCTAAAGGGTTTTTGATACATGTCAAGGTGAGATGATGTAGCTCTCCACAGGTGATTTACCTTCTCAATTATATACAAGAATCTATACTGCACACATGAATTATTTTAAAATGAAACCTTGTGCAGTGTCACATGGTTTGTTTGCCAGAAGTGGATGACATCGGGTTTTAGCAAAATCTGAAAGGAAATCAAGGCCCAGATCTTCTACTGCTGCTGAACATGCTCAGTTTTCTTACTTCTCATAACACCTTTTTGAAATTGAAATCCTCTTTATTTCTCTGTCCACTTGTAAGAGGTAAGCTGAGCAATTGTCCTTCTCTACCTATAGGCTGCCTTAATGTAGGTAATTTTCTAACGCTCAGAAATGGGGTCAAAGTTTTCCACAGCCATTCTATGGCTTTCTTGAGAACAAAATGTGCAACTGCTTCATGCTGCTAGTAGGAAGCATTTGGCCAGGAAAGCTGTATCTCAGTCTGACACTTTGAGAGAGTGAATGACAACTTGAGGATGGTTTCCAAGACGTTCATAACAGTATTTTATACTTGTTAGCTCTTGAAAAAGGTTGGTTGTTTCAGGAATGAATTCCAAAGGCGATTTAATGCTGCTGTTTCTATAAACTGTTTTCACTGTGACTGCCTTTCTATGCTTTTAAGTATCTGTGCAAGTTCTTTGTACTGATAAGAAGCACTATTTCTTTTTTCACTCTTGCTCTGAAAAACTCTTCCTTCAGGGAATTTTAATGACTGTGAATGGTACAATCCTAACTTGTTACTAAGGCAGAATTCTGGATGACACCAGTTTGAAAATCAAGGACAAAAGATAATTTGGTGACAGTGGATACTGTAATTTCTTTACCTCCGTTTAAGGTACAGATACTTTTAGTTAATATGGTGGCACTTGCTTGTGTTAAATGAAGAGTTATATGCAGAGGATACAGGGGAGATACAAGAATAAAAAGAAAATTTTTTCTCTGAAGACCTGAAAGTAAAAAAAAAATCTGAAAAAAATAGAAATATTTCAGTTTTAGAGCATGAAGTGAATAAAATCAGAAAAGTAAGGATACAGAGTGAATTGCAGCTAGCAGAGAAACAAGTGAGAGAGAAAAGACTTGGTAAACGCAGAAGAAGAAAGAGGAAGGAAGAGAGAAAAATAGGTGGGGTTTTATGTTGGTGTTTTTTTTTTTTCTTCTTAAGACAAAACCAGTGAGCAGTAGATAATATAAAGAAGGCTAAATCACTTGGTTTTTGTGTATTCCTCTGTTCAGTGTAAATGAATGACCCTTCTTAAATAAGTCATAATTAAGAAGTAGGTCTTAACCTTCTAAATATTGGTTAAGATTTAAGCAAGATACTGTATGTACATATCCCCTGATCTGCCAGTCAGCTAACAATGTTAATGAGCAGCCTGGATATATTGAATCATTAAAAGATGGAAGAATGTTCATTTGCGTAATGTACAATTATTTAAGGACAGCCCTGGAACAGCATGACATTCAGAAGGCATTGTAGTGTGGACATGTAAATATGCAGTAATAATAAAGTCTGATGGTCATAGAGGTTTTCATTTAGTCTGGAAGCATCAGGCAGGGATAAATGTCTGTAACTTCTACTTTTTTTCCATAGTAGTCAGATAGGTAGATTCAAATAGTTCAAAACCAGTACTAATAGATACTGACAACAACTGTTTTTCTCTATATAGTTGCCACATCGTTTTTGTTTAACATAGCATTTTTCTTGAGGAAGCAGTAAGAGTTAAGTGACTTTGGAACAGTGTCAAAGTAAAAGGGTAACTGTATCCCAGAAGTTAAATTAGATGAGCTTAAGAATATAGTTAAGTGATAATTAGTTTTCAGAGCTTACATGTGGTGACTTAGTGATGTGATGGCTTGGAAAGCTTTGATATATACTTCAGCCTTTAATGGCTTCCTTAGTAGCTTGAGACAACATTCGTCTTCTACATGGATGGTACTTTATAATCCAAATATATTGATTTAAAGTATTGATGTATTTGCAACAGAAAATGTAAGAATACAGTTGATCTTATTTTTAGAGGAAAATACCACAATAAATGCATTGTAAGCATAACAATTCTATTAGTTCTGTCAATAGAATACATTGGATTTTAAGGCTGTATGATAAATGACGCTGTAAAGACAATATTGTGTACGTAAATGTCTCTCCTCATTATTTTGTTCTGGGAAGAAGTATAAAATTAAATTTAGAAGACAATTTATGACTATTTGGATTATTGAAGGCCATAAAATAAATACAGTGGGTTTAATTAAATCCTAGTGAGATTTCATATGGGAAAAAGAAAAGAAGCCCATACTTAGACATTCAAGAGGTATTTCTATCGACAATTACAATTCAGATCCTTTATATCAACAGCTCACTTCTGATTGACCTGTTGTGACAAATATTCCTGAGATGCTAGTCCAGACTTTTCCTCCAAAGATAATTAGTAGAACCTTATATTGTTTGTGGTTCTTAAGTCAGTAGCTTTAGGTAATTATAGCTAACAAGTACTCCTGATTGCATGAGATGTTACTGTTGACATACATATTTGTAAATACTCATTCATGTAATCTTATAGTTTGGCATCTAGTAGGTTTTTGGTTGTGTGTTTGTTTTTTTTTTTTTAATTACAACTGAATACCTTAATGGCAGTGCTTAGAAACCTGCCTATTATTATTCTAACAGTTGCTTCTTACAGTAGCTCTTAACATGCTTATAAAAATTTTGTCATCAGTTATGGGAAGAATGTGACAGTACATGGTACTCCTTTCTTTTAGCATTCTGTAACTATTTAGCATGAAATTTTTGGAGGGAATAAACTTCAGATAAAATGTTTGGAAACTGGTAAGAAAATTCAAATAGAATGATCTGTAAGCAAGTGTGAACATAGCTGTAGAAATACTATTAAAACTTATTTTTATACTTTGGGCAAGAGTGGGGGGAGATGGCAGGCCCATGGAACCCCCGGGCCCCCTGGAAGTAGAGGAGCTCGAAGCATTACAGGGTATA